CAAATAGTGTCAGATTGCTCCTGTAGGTTAGACCTAGGGTGAAAACCAGTCTTCCTTCATGGTGAAATAGTTGGCCTTATCTAGGCCAGCTACTGGCTCTTCATCTTCACTCTCCTAATACTGCTGGTGCTCCACTTGGGATGAGTTTTAGAGCTGTGAGTGGTGCAATGCAACATTACACAACACAGCATCCCAGCAGCAGGCAGCAACTACACAAACATCTGCTGAACCGAACCCACTCAGGGCCAAACTGGATAGTACAACTGATTAGCTGGAGCCTTTGGGAGTATGCTCACAATTTATGTTTGTCTGAGTCACCAGCCCGTGTGCACATCACTGTTCTCTTTTTTCTTCCTTATTTTTAAGGTGGAACAAGATCATTACTGGGTAAAGAAATGGCACTGGTGCTTATTTCTCCCTTCCAACCTCCCAGACTTGTTTCTGTCATCAGCTTGTTACAAAATGCTAATCAATTCTGAAAATGCACACAGTGCTTTTTTTGATGGGGGGGGGAACTGCTAGCACACACACACACACAAAAACACACACAAAAACTTACCATCAGCACCAACTGAAAACAAAGGAACCAGAAAATGAACCTGTCTTTGGTTGCTCCTAACAATCCCGGGAGCTGGACTTGTCATTCAGAAATAAAACATGAAGCCATTTCAATTTTTATTTCTGTTCCGTTTTGTGATGCAAACCAATAAACCATCTGTACCTTTTAATGTGAGATTGGCTGGGAGATACAGAAAGCAAGCTAGCAAAAACCATTTTCTTTAGCCAGGTAAGAGAAAAAGCTTTCAGTTATTACTCAAACTCCCATCATATTCTAAAACATCTCCCTCAGCCTTTTAAAATGACAGACAGCTGAACAATGTTAATAATTCAAACAACACAAATTCAAGTCACTTTGCTAAAGCGAGAAAGTTTTTTTCCTAAAATCCTAGCTACTCTCAAACTATCTTATGGCACTTCTCAATGAGACGTAACCTACCTCATCATCTATCTCTGAGTAGAGATGATGATGATTTGCAATGCAAAAAAATCAAAGACAAGTGGGAGGTTCTCCAGGAAGTGTTTAGTTACGATTTCTTAGGGTGCACCTATATTTACACTACGTCCAAATATTATTTCTTGTGGAAGAAGCAGAAGATAGGTTGTCATTAGATGAAGAAAACAAGCAAGTAGACGTGCTCACAACTCCTCAACAACTTTGCATCATTAGCACTCATTCAGAGGTTACTCACACATGTCCCACTCTGCTGATAGCACCTAATTAGAAATTGATTAAATAGATCAATGGCAGTTCTGATCGTGCCAGTCAGGTATGAGTTAGGCTGAATCATTTAATGCAGATTCTCAACCCTGACTATTGACTTCATAGTGAATATGGGTTATCAAAGCAGACTGTGTGAATGCCCTGCCATTCCCAGAGCATGCATCTTTTTCCTATTTTGTTTTTTTAAGAAACACTAACACAGAGGCAACAAGAACATAAGAATCAGCCTCCATCTTTCCCATTCAAAAATTTATCTAATTACAGCATAACACTAGGTCAGATTTTAGCTTTACCACAACTACTAGAAGTGCAGCACGAATTACTAGATGGAATTATCATATAGATATCAGAAAAATACTTTCCTATCACTGAAAAGTGTCGGATATGTAAACATTTTCTCAAGCAGGGATACCAGGAGACCCTCTATAGCATTAAAAGGGCCCATAAGCAATTTCTGCTTTAGTGTGACACGCATAGCAAACACATACATTGTGGACACGAGTTTCTATCAAAACCAAGTGCCCAGCATAAGCACAGGTTCCTAGCCTCACAAGAATTACTTCCATTCTGTACATGTTAGGTAATGTGTTCTACATAAACCAATCCTTCACCCTCACCAAAAACTGGGGGAGAAAACCTCATCTCCCTGAATGAACAACTGTCCCTTCCTGCCCTCCACCAATTACGTACCTCTCACTTCAGCCACCCTAAGGTAAATCCTGCTTCCATGAATGAATCAGAGCAAAATCAGCAACATCAAGTATTAGATACCGAGTATTCCCCAAGATATCAAAAAACCCCCAAGAACAGAAAGTAATGAACTATTCTTTGTTTTTACATTTCCATGTAAACGCACTGCTTTTCTAATTATGCTGCATGCCTAAGTTGACACAAAGGATACTTACTGCTTATTCCAAAATCAACAAGCAACTAATAGGAAAGTACAAACCTTGATTCGTTCAAGCTTTAAAAAGTAACACAGAAATGACAGGAAAGACAGCAATAGTCCGTTAATGGAGGGACCATTCTCCATCAATACCGGCAATAGGTTTCACCATCTCAGTCTGCTATCCTGGGCACTAATTAGAGAGCAGGTGATTTTCTCCACAAAGGCATCTATTGGTGGAGATGCATACTACTAACAAGAAACCAATACTACTGGAGAAGAGATGGGAGACCGAGAAGGACAAAAACAATAATGAACCCTGATCATTAAAATACAGATGAAACACCATTCCATTAATACTTGGACAGAACAGCAACCCGTACCTCTGTGTTCATTCATTTCAGAGTAAAACCTGCCTCCACCTGGGATCCAGCTGGAGAAGACGCTTTCACACAGTCCATCATCAGTCCATTTCAACTTACCTGGTTGCCTATGCTCCCTGTGGTGCCCATGGTATGCAACACTCTGTGCTCCAAAATACAGCGTATATTGATCAGTAATTTCCATGGGGAAAAGCTTTATTATTATCTATTAAGCTACAAACTATTGTTGTCCTATTTGAGACCAACAGCCCTTGTTTTGATGTTCCAGATTAACACTAAACAGCAAAACTAACAGTCTTCTCCAGTTAAAAGCTCTGAGAAGGATTCAATTCAAATATTCTTTCCACACTTTGATAATACAATAATTACACTGATCAGAAACACATGCTCAGTGGATCATTCTGGAGCATTTTTCTCATTGTCTGGTACCACAAAACACATCTGGGTTTTATTTGTCCCATGTAAGTTAATAAGAGGACGGGCTTTTTTTTTTTTTTTTTTTAAACAATAAGCAAGATAATCCTGAAAACAATTTTTTTCAAAACAAGAAGAGGAGGAAACAACTCCGAGTTTCATCCCAAACTGGGTAACTGTAAAAACAGCTTTCTATGGGAGTTATTTCACTATCAGGCTATCAGAGAAGAAGGAAAAAGAAAGTTACAAGAATCATATTACAATGACTCTACGTACAAAAGTATCTCATGTCAATGGAACCCAAGACAGGATGCCTCCCTGATCTGCTCAGATCTGAATCAGAACAATGCAAAGTGCCAATATGTGGGCATGAGAAGATGCTAAGCTCCTTCTTGTTACTCAGCTCCCCACTTGGTAGAACTGGAAACTTTTAAGCTTATTGCTGGAGCATAGGGGATGTTGACACCTTCCAGATTTTCACTTTACTGGACCAACCCACAGGCAGTATGGTGCAAGGAACAGCAGATGGCTTTTCTTCTGTTACCTCTGCTTCCTAAATACGAAGCTGAACATTGTTCTTAAACCATGCATATTCAGCTCTCACTATAAGGAGAAAAAGGTTTATTTATATATGTTAAAGCCTTTCATCCCACATTATATTTCTCCCATTCCAGAGCATCTCTGTGTATGTTCATACGATTTGAATTTCAAGCGCCCAAAGGAAAGCAATTTAATCTTAAGTACGGAGTTTTAGTTTTAATCTTAATGCAAGCTACATGTTGAGATGTTTGATACTCTTCTTGCTTTCATTTCCTCCCTTTTAAAAAGACATAACACAGAACAGGGAAAGTACTGGGGAAAAAAAAAAAAAACAACTGTTTTTTTCCTGTTTCACGTTTTACCTTACGCAGATTAAGGCTTTAGTCTAATTAGAAGAGCTACCACAAACCTTTTCCAGCTGATAATGCTCTCTTCAGGCCTTACCACTGGCAGAAGACAGAACATTTGGTCTGTGCTGAAGTCCAGTGTGACCCCAGCAGGACATGTCATTTCTCCATGTATTAAGCAATTCCTGTGCTTGCACTTTACACTTTACACATGAAGTCATGCATTACACAGCTCAATCCCACATCTTTCTTACAGGATCACAGACCTCTGTGAAAAAAGGCCAAACTCATGCTGTGTTCTAATGGGAGACAATTACACTCTGGGAAACTAAAAAGAGAGCAACAAAGTTTTTTTTTTTCATCATGTAATTGAACACTACAGAGTTTTCTTTTCCCAAAGCTTGATGAAAAGATAGAAGCCGTCTTTGATTACACTTTTAAATACGCAGAACAATGCTATGGAGAAAGTCTCACTGCATGTTACCCACCTGTTTTTGGACATACATAATGTCCTACTTCTCCTACAGATGTAACACCGAGGTAAAAGGGACATGCTTGGAGAATGCAGTGCAAAAGTTAGAGAGGGTACAAGCAATTTAAATACAAATCTTAGAGGAAAACAAACTGTGCACTGAATTGACTGCAGAACATTTCTTACTCCCAAACTTATCTGCATGTAAAAGGTCTGTTGATAAACTTGGGAATAAACACATAGAAAACTGTAAGTACGGACTGTTATATCAATAAAGAGACATGTATATAAACAACAAAATAGACACAGTGATCAATTATCAATCCAGTCGGGGTCCAATCCTCTTCTCATGACATCAAATGTATTGGTACAGGGGGAATCAAGCCAGCCATCCTGGATTAGAGAGCTGGTCTGACCATGGTTCGTTTTATTTGCTATAACTGTGTAAATTAAATATTTTTGGAATTTATGTAGCAACTGGTTAGCACAGGAAAACATCCATCTCCACGTCTGCTATACTACTTATCCGTGGAGGAAGAAATAGAAAAAGTCAAGTTAACCTAGTGGGCAGACAGAGATAGGTTATTTACGCTCATTTCCACATAGTAAGGCACTTTCATTTCAGGAGTAATGCTATGCTGTTCAGAGACGTGTGTTAAAGTTGAGATACACTTACAAAGTAGCCTGTTCCCAAGCTGGAAGGAGCTGAGCTCTGCAATAAAACACAAAGACAAAGTGGAAAGTCAGTGATGGTTTTTAACACGTTCCAATCCACACAGCTCATTACCAGCCCTTTCCAAGCTTTTCATCACTACATCACAGCACCAATGTGCTGCCCCTTGTCATCTGCTACTGAAACAAACACCGTGTTGCTTAATTTTTCCCTTTACATCTCTCAACAACTCTGAGATGGTAACGTGCTATTTACTGAATTCCAAGCTTCTGCGGTGGACGTAATTGCCAATTTATTTGACAGGCAGCTGGGTAATGAATTAATGATGGCATTTCGCCCTGCACTGAGACTAAACAGACACTCATCAACCAGCCTCCCTGACATGCTGACATTCAATGCCCTGGACTCCAGCTACTCAGCTTTGTGGCCACAAAGGGGCAGGCGGGAGGGGGAAAAGAAAAAAAAAAAAAAAAAAAAAAAATGTAGGCTGACTTCAAAACAAAAAGCCCAGTGGGTTTAGATGACTTTTCCAGTGTATGACCTGTTTGCCAATTTATTCCCAAAAGGCCCTGGTTCGTACACACATACTGCTTCTCTAAAATGAGACGTTTTGTAAACATAATTAGTAGTCTGAAATGTAAAAGAACGCGTGGGCATAGAGAAGCTGCTTCAGTCCATGTACCATTTCCTGGAGAACAGTCACTACGATTTCCCACTTGGATGTCCACACTCTTAGACAAACCAAAGATTTAAAAAGAGAAGCAAAAATAAAGCAACCAAACCCTACAGTGTGAAACTGATTCCAAAACTCCAAACCGTAAGAATAATTTAAACCAGTATTACTAAATTGAAAAATAATCAAAAGGTTTAAATGCTTTAAAAAAAATAAAAATAGGCATCATGAAATTCATTTTAAGTGGGACGTGATCACAACCTCTACATTCACAGGAATTAAGGAGATAAAGGGTTTTGTTTCATTAGTTTTTCATCTCAGCAATGGGGATTACACAGCAGGTTCTCTTAGAGCCATGGTGAGAGACCGAAACATCTCAGGCCTAATCCAGGTCACTGCTGTTGTATTAAAGGGTGATCAGTTCCAACGCTCCGACCCCATCACCTGAAACGCTCTAAGCCAGGCTGGTCAACAGACAAGGAAGCAAAAGGCAGAGGGTAACTCTGAGGTGAGCAGTAGGAAGCTCAGAAGACCAACCTTCAGCTCCTGCAGCTCAGTCTGCATTGCAGCACTGTAATAGAAATGCTCTTCCAGTGCTGCACGAGTTCTGCCATTACCAGGACCCAACCAGCCCCAGCCAAACGCTGGAAAGAAGCAGGATTTGCATCCCTGCCAGCCCTACCGCAGGGAACCCTGACAGCAACCCCCTCTACCTCTGATCTCCAAGTGAAGCACTGACACAAAATGAAGCCAAACCCCACCCCCAAGGGGCTGACTCAGTCTTTTCACTGAACCCTGTGCAGCAGAAATAGTGCCAAGAAATTTTAAATTAACAGCCGTACTCATTGCAAATAATCAGAATATTACCATGTGTGCACCAAAGCACTACTAAAAAGAGAGGTTTAGATAGAGGTTTAGGTTATGTACATACAGGGAAAGGCTCTTTGGTTTAAGCCATTAAAAGTTAAAGATTTAGCAGGAGAAAAGCATGAGGAATGGATGCCCCATCCCTGGAGGCATTCAAGGCCAGGCTGGATATGGCTCTGAGCAGCGTGGTCTGGTGGCTGGTGACCTGCACATAGCAGGGGGTTGGAACTGCATGAGCACTGTGGTTCTCTTCAATCCTATGATTCTATGATTCTGGCAATCTTAGGGGTGCCAACATTGCAGTATTAATAGACTCTGCTATGGAAATTTGGAATTCCCAGCACAGGGATGGGAACAGGTGGCCATGGGCAGTCAGGTAAGCACCACAGCACAGCCCTCACATGGCTGCCAAGTCCCCTCCAGGACTACGGGGTTTCAAGAGCCACTGCTGCTCACAGTTCTGTAACACCAGGTTGGAAGGGCTGCATGGATGCTGAACAAGTCCCACTCTTTCACTCACAACTTACAAAACTTACTTCAAAGGCTGAACACTCCAAAGTTTGCATTCTGCATCTGTGTGCACTTTTTGTCTGCTTTTTATTCCAAGCTTTGGAAGGATCAAATATCAAAACACAAAACACAAAACAAAGAAAAAAGGAATAAGCAAACAAAATGCTTCCCGCTGAATATTTCCATTCCTTCAAAAGCAACACTGCAATGGCTATGAGAGGACAGCTGAAACGTAGCAGTCAAATGACTTTTGCTGAAAAGAAATAATTTGGAGCAATTTCAGGGAATTCGACTTGATGGAAACACAGCCCTCCACAAATTGCATGCTGCATATGGACAGTACACTCTGCATACTCTGTTCAGTTTAAGTAGCTACAAAAGACTGTGTTGCACATGCATGAATGACTAAGTTGGCTGCGTTGTGAACTGTGTGCTGACAGAGCGCACGGGCTGAAGCAAGGGCTATGCAAGAAGGCAGCTTCTCACCTGGTTTTTTGACAACTCCCAACAGCGAAAGGATCCTACCACCCAGTGCCCAGCCTTGGTACCAACTGATGAATGTGATACTGAGTATGCAGCATCTTTACAAGACCATGCTGAGTCGTGATCCTGCACTGGATGGTTCTACATCTCTTACATAAATGCGCCTATAATAGAGGGAATGGTTTCACTTTCCCCCTTTGCAAAATCCAACATTAGGTTCACCGTTTGATATTCACACAACCACCAGCAGAAGCCTGCACAGGGTGCCCATCAGCAAAACACAAGCCTCTTGCTTAAAATTAACACCATTTCAGTTTTGTTATTCTCATTCAGCTCTTTTCTAATTATTTATTTCTTCTTTTTTAAAGAGAACAACTTTTGGCCCAGGAGCAAAAATGTAGTAACTCTCTCGTAAGCATTACTTTATTGTGTACCAATGAAAATTACATCCTTGAGGTCTTGGAAGGCACAGTTATACCCATTTTGCATATAGATTGTGCATTACTTGGGGAGCTGGGTGGGGAGGAAGGCTGTGTTGTATATTTTTGTTCTGGCTATTGTTTATGCAGGTCTGACTGAATGAAGGAACAGTGGGTATCATTTCAATTTCTGATGTCAACATCAAATTACTTATTTAATTTCATGCCTGGCGAAGCATTGTATAGCTACACGCAGAATCATTTCACTTCATTTGTTATGCTGTGTTTTCTTGGCGATTGGCTTGCCTTCCAACTGACAGCTTTAATTACGACATGAATTTGATTGCACTGCCGAGGAATTAACATAATGCAACAAAGCATTTAAGCACCCAACCTTAGACACACAAACACACACATACACACCCTCACACACACACAAAGCAGCGGCAACTGCAGCTGATCAGCTCCTGGCACACACACACACAGCTTTGCTGGTGTTATCCCACTTTAGATACAGCCAAGATTACTGGGGATATTCTGGAGGAGGAGAAGCGCTCCGGATTTCAAAGCACATAACCCAAAGACTGTTTCTTAATTTATCTTTCTTTGGGCTTCAGACAAAGGTGGGAGGGAATGGGAGGCAGAGAATTGCACGTCTCGTACTGAGGCAGGAACCATGAGCCATCAAAAGTATCACACTGCTGGGTGCTGAGACCTTTCCTGCCTGCAGACAGCAGCAAAGCCATGGGCAGGGCACGCTGGGACTGACTCCTGCCTCAACACACCTCACTGGGACTTGTTCTAGAGGGTGAAGTACACAACACAGCAGATGCACACAGCTGCACAACAGCAGGGAAATAGGAGCTCTATGGAAGGAATCTGCGAGCTCTGCTGTGACCCTTCATGCTGGTGAGAAATGGTGTCATCATTAAAAAAGAAGCACCGCAGTCCCACTTCCCATTCTGAGCTAGAACAATATTCCAGACAGACAGATGCCAGCGCCGTTGCTGAGTTATTTCTCCCAGTGTGTGACTTCTTGTTCAGCAAAAAGAGGCCAGGATTCCATGCTGCTTCTGTGTATAGGAAGACCTGCACTGCCCATCTCCTTCAGGAACATCTTTTTCAGTGCCCATCTTTTCCTGAGCATCCTCTCTCATCAGCAGCCTGCTCCCAGCAGTGCTGAGGACGCCTGGAGCAGCCTGCACACCCTGTCCTCCCAGAGCACACTCGCACTGCCACTGCATCCCAAAATGATGAACAAGGTCCGTTTCGCAACCATCACATTTTTAACAGTACTAGCAATGAGCTGAGAGGCGTGCACAAGCTTCAGATCTGCGCCAGGTCAGGAACTGAGGGATGTGTGCCATAGAAATGAGTTCTTGGGTTTGATTTTGATTAGTGTGATGGTGGGCTGAATCCCCAAATACTCTGTGCATTTACCATCTAGGTCTGATGCAATTCTCACATTTCCATCCAGTGATCTCTTGGCTGCTTGTAAAACACGGCTAAAAGGAACCTCATGCACTCCAAAGCAGGACAATTCAATTAAATACAAATACATACAGAAACAGGAAGAAAAACAAGTTGACTGAGCTCCAAGCTGTGGCAAAGCGCTGCCATCTTGTCTCCAAGCAAGATCTCAACAAAATGAATTCTACTACTGGCAAGATTTTGATGAGATTAAATTGACTGCAGCACCCTATATATAAAGCAGGAGCAGCTCTCCAATTTCTCCTTCAGGCCCCTGGAGCTACCTCTGCCCACAAAGGAAAAAAACAAGTTGGCATTCCAAAAAATACAATATGGGGTAAAAAGGGTTTATGAAATGGGATTCAGACGAGGAGATGTATTAGGGGACTGGCAAATGCTTGCAAAGGAGCACTTGGGCAGTCGTTATCCCCAGTCTAGCAGAGGTCAGCCTGCCTGCTAATTATGTTCTCTCACAGAGGTGTGTGCGGATGTGTGCCTGTGCACACACATGGGGGATGAAGAGAAAGGAGCCGATGGAAATCAGTTGCATTGCATTGTATCTGACAAGAACACAGGATATTCCCCTTCCTGCTCTCTGATGCTATTTCAAGCCTCATTATGGGAAAAGCCTCCTGTTTAACCTGGTCTTTCCACTGAATTATCTTCTTTTCATTTTTGACCACTTCTCTTGAAAACGCTGCAAATTACCTGCTTGGATCTCATTAGCCTGGAAAAGAGTCATCCCTCGTAAACACATTTTGCATCAATCTGCGTTACCCAAGGACTGTAGGTACATTTACAATATGCAGAGTTGAAAGATATCTGACAGGAGAGGGAACGAAGACACTGACATGTCAGTGTGTAACTGGATATTCATTATACTGTCTCCCTCGTTCTGCATCTGTCACTAAGCTATCACTTAGGCTCCACATTAAAGCTCACAAAGCTAACATTTCTGTTTCAACAGCTTACTTAAAACTAGGCATTTGAAAATTGATCATCCACCTAGACTATATGCTCTTCATTCATTATACATATTTTCATGCAGTAGCCATCTTACAATGCTGTGGGGCAGTATCAGTGGAGATTCATCGTATTTCAAGTCCCAGCTTTGCTTTCTGACCTCAGGGCTAATCTGTCTGGAGTGTTACCTTTTTTTCCCTTCAATTTTAAGCAGAATACACACTTGCTGTGTATTGTTTCTGAGCATTTTTAAAATCAGGATCTTCAGAGAGAGGTTGGTCTTCTGGCTGTACTTTTTATTCTGGATAACCATTTGTTGTAACCATTAGAACAACTCGTTTCTTCCAAAAAAACAAAAAAAATCAAACATCTAACCTTATTAAGCTAATGATGCTTCTTGGTGCATACAAGCACAGTTCAAGGTGGGCTCTCCCAAAACTAGATATGAAGCAAAATATGTCTTTGCATGGCCCTGTCTAATAAAGTAGGGTGTTTGTCTTCAGAAGAGAGAGAAATGCAGAACAGTATTTACTTTTCTTAACCAAAAGGGTCTGGGAGAGGCAGAAGGCCAACAAAGAACATCATACCTCCCAATAGCTTGTGAAATCTCAGCTGAACTGGCAACACCAGAACACAGAAAGATAGGTTTGTATTGCAATCAGTTATCAAAGCATAAAGGAACTTTCTTATTAAGCAAAACGTAAATTATGCATAACTTTACTTTAAAATATATGTTTCCACACATATTTGAATAATGTTCCTTTTCAGCAACCTGTGAATCCCTGTGCCCTCTCTTGGGTGTAGCACTAAGGAAGTTGTGTTTTTTCTCCCCTTCCTTTTAACCTGCCATAGTGCCAAGACAAACACAAACTACTGGAAGAGTATGAGAAGGGAAAAAAGGTGTTTAGAGGAAGGGGAATCAGGGCTCTGTGCTCACAGCCAGGCCTGGCACCGCACTGCTGAGAAGCTCCAGTAGAGCCTCAGAGCTCTCCATGCAGCACACTTGCAAGGGAGCAGTGAGATGAAATCAAAGCCAGCTTTGTAAGGAGTGGTGTTTTGGTTTTTTTTTGCTAGAAGATGCTCTGTAGTTGTGAAGTTCATCTCTTCTAAGCTGCCACAGGGCTCAGAGCAAACTGGCAAAACTGACAGGCTGATGGTCAGCTGCCATCCACTGCTACCTGTACTGAGCATTTACTCACTGCCTCCTCCATTCTCCTCTTCCAAGGCACCTCATAGCACTGAGCTATGAGAGCAGGATCTGAAGTGTGTAACTCAATGCACTCTTAAAGGATGGTTACAGCAGAAGAATGGGCCCCTAAAATAACGTGATAAAGGGATGAGGAAAGAGAGCACAACAGATTTTAGACCTTCACTGAGAAAACCAAGTGGCTGTTCCAGCAATACGCACAACTCAGCAAAAATGGCTAGCTGTATGCCTTCAGGCTTAAATTCACACAACAAAATGTATCCTTTACAAAGGTATTGCTTTTAATGTGTGCTCAATTCCATTTTATTGGATTGGCCTATACAGGACACCATCTGGTATCTGTCATCCAAATCTACATGGACATGCTATCAATAAAATCCCCATTTCCAAAATGTGGGTTAGTTAAAAGTAGGGCCAGATTGCTGGCTGATATAAATTAGTCTGACTGATGCAGCTATGTTTTTACCAGCAAAGGATCTGACCTACAAAATCCCCACTTTAGATACTCTTTTGGGACAGAGGCTGCCTTTATATTCTCTGTTGCAAAGCATGTAAGCACAGAGGACACAAAGCCATGAATAAAACACTCAAGGATTGTGATGGTACACATAATAAATAAGAATCTAATTGCAGCAACAAAAGATTTCTGTATTTATTCATATGTCAGAATAACTCACGCGTGTCATTCAGTGAATGGGCAGCATGCTTCACTGGAGAAAAGCATTCTCTGTAGAGCTGCCATCTTTAGGCAGAGCAATAAAGGCAGAGCTTATGCTATTGTTGGCCGTGTTATATCAGTTCATCAGATATAAGTTATACCAGAATCTCTAGACTTACTTTCCATAAAGACAGTATTTACCCCTGAAGAAATGCATTATGTCCTTTCCCCAAACTGGGGCGAAAAGAGGCCATCTCACTTCTCAACTATGCAGAGTACTGTAACTTCATTAAGTGGCCTTCAATTATTTTTGATTGAATGAGCGTTTCCACACAGTCAGACACTGTACCGAGCTTAATGAATTTGACTGAACTGGGACAGGTGACATAAGTTACTTCTTCCCCTTTCGCTCCTGAAAGCGAAGGGATTTTTAGCAACAAACCATCCCACAGACAAAATCCTGTTACAACTCAGGGCCCTCTGAAACTACACCAGGGTCAAGCAGAACAGCATTTGGCTGCAGGAGCTTTACTTACATCACTGAGCCTTTCCCGAGAGCTACTTCGATGGAAACCTTTCGATTCCCCGCTGGCGCTTTCACTGTCACTGTCTCGGCAGCTGTTCTGACCTGGCTTGAGCTGCAAAAAAGATAGAAAACAGAGAAAGCAAGAGTTTAGCCTGGCTCAGGTAAGTCCCCTGCTCTTGGTGCATGACAGTTCCCAAACACGTTGAAGGAGGAAATCTGCACATCCCAAGGAAACCACAGAGTAGAACCATCATTCTGTGACCTTCTAGTTGTCTGAAGTTATTTATGCTGTAGAAGTTGTTTTGTAAAGTTACCATCAGAACAAAGAGCACCTGGGATCAATCCCTCCCTCTTTACAGCATTGAGGATCTCAGATCAATGGAAATCTCCCAAGGGGATGGAACAGCCTTTGCTGCACTCATTCCTAACAACATTGCCTTGTACCATAAAACCTTCTTGGCTGACCTCAGTGTTCATAAAACACAGAACCATGGAATGGCCTGGATTGAAAAGGACCACAATGAGCATCCAGTTTCAACCCCCCTGCTATGCACAGGGTCATCAAAAAACATGATCTATTTATCAACTATTGGATTGCTTTTGCTTTTCAAATCCTTTTTAACGAACATTACTGGCATGGCAATGCATTGAAAAACAAAAAAATAACGAGCTACATATTCCAGACAATTGAGAACACACCTGCATATTGTGCAGGCCAATGGCACTGTACTGAAATGAGCATCTCCCATACACGTACATTATACATAAGCCCACAATCACATACACATATATACTGCAAGAGGATGATATGCGACCTACATCTACTGCAATGCTGGCACTGTACCCCTTTCTTCTAACACATCTTTCCTTATATATTGCTAGCACTTTTTAAAAGCTAGCTTTAACCTTTTGAGTGCCTTGTTTGAACTGACTATGATAAAATTGTTTATTTTAGAGGTTAATGCTGACAAAAGTCAATTTCATAAATTTAGATTTAAAAGCACAAACTAGAACTGCTGGCAGCTGAAGCAAATGAGGAGAAAACATGCAGCGATGTTCCTAATGAGTTTATAAGGCAGCTATGATTGCATTCATAAAATAAACACTACCATATTTTGTAGTAATTTCTATTCAGACTGTACATAATTACAAGAACCACACTCATCTCCATTTCACAACTGGTGACCGAAAGTTCTTGACCCATGAATTTTCTCCACCATCCTTTCCCCACTTCTCTCTCTTCTCATTTCATTCTGGTTCACCCACACTCTGCACAAGCACACACAAAAATACACACTCTCTTTCAGAGGCTCAAGACACACGCTTCTGTCCTATATCCCAGTCACACACATCGCTCCTCTCCCTCACTACAGGAATACACTCAGGAATATCCTCACTCCAATGGTTACCATCAGTTTCTCACAATCACCGCAGCCAGTCTGGCAACAGCAAACTTCATATGTGGTCTGGTGTATGCAAAACTGCTTAACCTTCATCTCTTAGTCTCATTTGGTAAGAAAAAAAACCCAAACACGTTCAATGCTGAAAGCATAACTGCTTGATGCTCTTTCACATTACTCTCTCCAAGATGTGACTAAGGCTAAGACAAGCGTGGCCTACAAGAGCTCTAAATCTTAACTGGGATTCTTGTGTCTTGGTTGCATGTTGCACCAGAAAACAACTCTGTGGGTATCCATCCTCTGGGGACTTTTATTCCTGATCTTGTGGCATCTTTTCAGCCATAGATATTAGGAGGAAGTTTTTCACACAGAGGGTGGTGAGGCACTGGCACAGGCTGCCCAAGGAGGCTGTGGATGCCCCATCCCTGCAGGCATTCAAGGCCAGGCTGGATGTGGCTCTGGGCAGCCTGGGCTGCTGGTTGGCGACCTGCACACAGCAGGGGGTTGGAACTGGATGAGTACTGTGGTTCTTTTCAACCCAGGCCATTCTGTGGTTCTGATAGGTGTGATGACAGCACAGCAGGGTGATATTTCTTGACATTATCCAATAAAAAGCCAATTCACAGAATCATAGAGTCACAGGAACGGTGACTCCACCACCTCCCTGGGCAGCCATTCCAGTGCCTGACCACTCTGAGAGAAAAAGCTTTTCCTCATGTCCAACCTAAACCTCCTCTGCTACAACTTGCGGCCATTTCCTCAGGTCCTGTTTGTTGCCTGGGAGAAGAGGCCAAACCCCTCCTCATCACAGCCTCCCCTCAGGAAGTTGCAGAGAGCAGTGAGGTCTCCCCTGAGCTCCTCTTCTCCAGACTGAACAATCCCAGCTCCCTCAGCCGCTCCTCATAGGATTTGTGCTCCAGACCCCTCACCAGCTTTGTTGCCCTTCTCTGCACACACTCCAGGGCCTCAACATCTTTCCTGTAGTGAGGAGCCCAAAAGTGGACACAGTACTGGAGGTGCAGCCTCACCAGAGCTGAATAGAGGGGGATGCTCACCTCCCTGCTCCTGCTGGCCACGCTATTTCTAATGCAGGCCAGGATACCACTGGCCCTCTTGGCCACCTGGGCACACTGCTGGCTCATGTTCAGCCAAGCATCAACCAACACCCCCAGGTCCTCCTCACAGACATCCAGCCACTCATCCCCAAGCCAATAGTGCTGCATGGGGATTCAGTCATATGGAAGTTAAGCCAGTGGGCATTTAGAGCTGCACAGTTCATGGTACAGCAGCAAAGTCACAACAGACACCCAGAACACTGAAGAAGCTGCAGGAAACTCAGCAAACTCACCCAAACCCTGCACCTCCTCCTTCTGCAGTGAGAAGGTCCAATGCCTGGCAAAGATTTAAACTGAGTTAAAAAAAAAAAAAAAAAAAAAAAGGCAGTTTTGCTATTCTCTATCAGCCAGAAGAAAGGGCAAAGTACACAGAACTCAGATGAACAACTGAGTTGCAATGCATGAGCATAACTGCAAAAAAATAATAAAAAAAAAAGGCACAACAAAATGCACAGCTGTACTCTCAGCTCAAAGAAAACATAAGAACTTGAGCTATTTGTCAAACGTTTACAATTTAATAAATAAACTAAATATTCCACAGCTCAGCCAGAAAGCCTCAAGTAAAAACATTTTTATTTCAAATGGAATGGTTTATCAGACAGATCTAATAGATTTAGGTAATATTTTTGGAGGCGGTAGAGAGGATAACAAATTCAAGAAGTCTAATGCTCCATATTTAACTCCCAGATTTTATCTGGGACCTCAATGTGCTGTAATTATATGGTCCCAGGTTTAAAATTTAACCACCCAAAGGAAAATGGATCAAGTTTCCCTGACTCAGCCTTTTGTCAACAGCTGCTCAACGATGGTTTTTCCACTGCTGTTGTAATGAGGAAGAAAGAGGGGAGGAAGAGGAGAGGGAGGAGAAGAGACACAATAGGTGTCATTCTTCTGGAAACACCTCACAAGCATTAAGGGATACAACCAAGGTATCCAAATCTGAAACACTGCAGGAACAAAGTGCGCTATACAGACCAGACGGAAAACTCAGAATTAAGTCCAAGTTCAGATTTATAAGCTTTTCATGTTTTCCTTTCTTTCGTTCTGAGTTGCTCCATACGCCAAACTGCTGAGAGTTTAAATTTTATTGCAAAATCCATCAATCTGTGCTAAATTAAAAAATAATAATAATAAAGCATGGAAATGTGCCCACTGTCTTATATAAGAACTTTGTTACACACAAACACACGTGAGAACACTTCATGTGGACGGGCAGCGGTTCGTTTTAGCCTCCTCATACAGATTCTGCCGCTTAATGTGATGCTGAAATATCAGAAATGCTAAGAAAAGATCTGTAAGACTGGATTTTCAGTCAGCTGGTGCCTGGTGCACTGCCCTGAGGCACATGGCATCCCTAAAAAGCTTCCCCCCCAAAATTTAAGTTCTCCTGCATGGAAGACATCTCAAGTGCTCCATTCACAGGTCTTGCTCCTGTACCAGTCCTGTTAGGGTGACCAATGAAAAAACAAAGCCAGTAAGGAACTCTCGTGGTTCTTACACAGTGTCTGACTGAGGGCTTTCCAGCATTTACACAGGTTCTTCTCACTTGCACCGAGCAAGGAACAAAGAAGGGATGGCAAAAAGAAAGTGCAGCTCCACACTTGTGATGGCAATGAATACTCACACACTGGGCTCTCATGAAGGTCTCACAAAGAGAAAAAGCAGTTTTTTCAGTCCCAATCCCCAAAAACATGGAGTGCTGCCGACTCACAAAGACCTCAAGGCCTTCCCAATGGGAGAAGCACAGCAATGAAGCCAGAACTGGGATGGCACTGGGCACCCCAGTTGACACCCACATCTCCCCATCTTCCCTTCGTATTGGTGGGGATACCCAGTATCACCTCACTGTATTTCTAGAAAGCTTTTCTCCTGCTGTACAACCTATTGGCTTGTATTGTCCTTAAGTTTGTTGGACAACACTGGAAGTCAACTGGATAACTGTTGTGGGGTTTTTTATTTTTTTTATTTTATTTTTTATTTTTTTAATGAAAAGGAAGAAAAATCAAATAAGCTTTGGCAGGACAGCTGCCAGCAGAAGTTTGGCATCAGGTTTTATTTCTGATTCTATCTCCCCACACCTCATTCCCTCTCCAGAAACTGAAAATAATTGCAGGCTCTGTGTTCCTTCTTCCCAATTCTTCTTTTTGATGCTGAACAATCAAAGGTTTTCCCATGGATTTTCTTAACAGAAATCCGATTTGCACGATTTACATCAAACTGGCAGGAGTGAATGCATAGCTCCAAATAGTCCTGACTAGATGAAGTATATACAATTACAAATCCAAGTTTCTTTTCAGAAAATTAAAAGGGGACAGTCACAAGTTATCTCCACGGTCATTACGTCTTTATTTGCCTATTTATTTATGCGGGTAGGTATTTACTTCTGATCAACAGTCTTTGAGCTACTGAGAAAAGCAGTACTGAGGTAGCCACACTCGTAAGTTGCCATCCTTATAAGAAAGACACTGAGGCCCTGGAGTGTGTCCAGAGAAGAAACAGGGCTGTGAGGGCTCTGGAGCACACGTCTGATGGGGAGCAGCTGAGGGAGCTGGGATGGGTCAGAGTGGAGCAGAGGAGGCTCAGGGGAAACCTCACTG